CTCCTTGCTCAGTTCGTTAAAGTGCAAATCGGTGTTCGTTTCTTACACAGTGCCACAGAACTATGGAAATCTGTGTACTGCCCCGTCCACGTGGGTTTTGTGTAGACAGGCTTCTAGATTAAACCGTGAGATCGGCTGACTAATTTAAAGTCCAAAGAGTTTTCACTTTCAGCACCAAACGCGGAGTGTTCTTGTTCAGGAGAGCATCCATGATGGAACTGTTTGATACTAGCATAAAAATACCACCTACGTAAGATCGATAAAAGTAAGTACGTCTACGCTCCTCACCCAGTCTGCCATTCTCAGGTTTACCGAAACCAATGTCACTCAACAGGGCACCAAGGCAAGAGTAAGATCTTTTGATGAAATGTGCAGCTGACTTGGAATTACATGTTAAAAAGGCACCCTGAAAGATTTGTGTTATTCACTGTGTTCTCCTTTGAAAGCGTGGGAAAATTTATGAAAGTTGAGTTCGTAATTCCAGATGTAGAAAAACCAGCTTGAGCAAGGATTTGCGTTTTCTACCGGAACACAAACCCTAAGAAATTTTTCAGACATCTTATTGCGTGTTTCTTAAGTTTAGCGGTTGACCCGCGTATTCGACTGTCTACGTCCTATAAGCCAACCGTGTATTCTATTCACTACACATATTTAGAATACCAACTCACCAAGAACTTGGGATAAACGTTTCATTTTCGCGAAGTCTTACCCCGTTGTCAGTATCGTTGAAACTGACCAGATGGATGGGGATTTTCTGCTTGGACCTTTTTCCTATGGCAACGTAGATGTACTAATTTTTAGCTATTGACAAATAATCAGTAGCACGCCTTCTTCGCAGTTTTGATTTCTGCATCGTCCATAGCTGGGTCACGTTTTTAATTCCTCACACACTTTCTTCTACTGAACTGCAGCTTAAATAGGAAACATCAACAGAGTCAGACACGGAAAAATTTTGTCACATGTGAATGCCACTTTTGCTCTCACGTGCAAGTCTGGCTTAATTTAGACGCGAATAAAACCGAAGGAATACGTCGAATTTTGTGGGTTCAATCAAGAAGCCGATTCCCTGTTCAGGTAAACAGAGAATGTGCGTTCTGGACCCAGTATCTGCTCCCATTTTTGGCCATGCTGGGTTTAAAACCTCAGACATATAACACTCGGGGAACGTAAGTTAAAATACCTGATGCACCCGAACTATTGCATCTGAGTAGATGGACATCGCACTCGAGCGATGTCACTTGTTAGTCCTACAGCTCAAACGATTAACTGTCCTGACATATTCTCTTCAACCAGCTGAGGGGTTATTTGCGTCCACATCATACTACACATCATGCTGTATGTTGGATAGAAAACAAACACCCAGTCTTGTGATTGTTTACACACACGAAGCCAGGCGTTCAACTCACGCCAGATACGCAGTGCAGCAAACTAAGCAATAATGTTTGCAAGTTTTTCTCATTTGACAGTTCCTCGTTGGGCTCTCTACCCTTGTCATTCCTTTCTTATATTTCTAGATCATCTGAACAGTCAGCTCACAGTAAATGGTGGCTTGCATGCTCAAATTATGCTTTTTTGTGCGATTTAATATGTCATTCCTTTCTTATATTTCTAGATCATCTGAACAGTCAGCTCACAGTAAATGGTGGCTTGCATGCTCAAATTATGCTTTTTTGTGCTGGGCGATTTAATGCGGTGTTTCCAAGGGCTGCACTTATGTTGGCTTAGTGGATGGCCGATTGAATTGTGCATGCCATCTCTTCATGCAAAGTAGATTTCTCATATGTTCCTCATCCACGCTTATCATTTGAGTATTCGACCATCTGGTAGTACAGAGTATGCACGAATGCACTATAAAAATGCCCATTCTTTAGTCACTGTACTGATCCGCTACGAAAATAATGACATGGTTTAACGAGCTGGCCCATCGAGAGAAGCTTTTAATCAGAATATAATTACCAATGCAGAACCCTCTATTATGAGGATACGTTCAAATAACAACGCATTCATCTTGGATCTTTCCGACAGGATGAGATGCAAACAAATAAGAAAAAATGTTCGCTCACTACTCAATCCATCAATCAGGAACTTCTATTTCCTAATGACTTAGAAGTTTTGCCACTGTATCATCCGTTACGTTGGCAATTGGAATTCCCCACGTTTGTTCTGTTCCTATTTGTAACCCATGCTCCACTTTTGTGTTTAGTGTGTTTATATGAACTGACGTTTGCTTGTCCTTACCAATTCACCCATTTAGCCTTGAGGTCATCCGGCCATTTGTAGCCGACTTTGTGTACGTGTGACTGTCGCACGTGGGAGTCTGTTTGCTCTTTTGGTTTGTACTTTTGTAATCCAAGTGGACCATTTGTTTTGGACTGGTATCTACTGTCGAGGTTTGTATAATTTGTGAATTCGTCTTACATTAGTAGTACCGTATAGAAACCCAGCTCCGACTTTGTTTTACCTTCCGGAGGTTCTGGTATTACGCGTCACTCGAAGATACCGTTCACCCGTTATAACTACCATGTCAAACAATAAATCTTTCTGAAAGCCAGATAGCAGATAACGAGCTTTTGAAGAACCTCCCCACCGTTCAGCACAGGCGTTCTGTTACTGGGGTTTCGTCCATACCGTGTACATCATCAGGTGGGAGATCCAGCACACTAGTTAGGCACATGATTTGTCATTTCGCCTAACAAATGGCTGCAGATGATAAGGAAGGATATGAGGCTTGCTATGAAGAAGAGGACAAGGCGACAAAATCTTGAAATAGAGCGAACACCAACAGCTTGCTTTGGTTGCTTCGAAATGAGGGTTAGACAGACCATGAAGAAACAACTTCTCGGAAAGCAAAGACAGACCATCTTCAGAGATGCGAACTACCGATAAACCGCCAGATACCTCACAGATTTTCGAAAACGTCCAACAATCAGAATGAACACCGACTGTTACAAAAAGACAGCATTCAATTAGTCCCTGGTTTGCGTAAACAAGAGATACGCACAGACGCGTCTATCTTTAGTTCCCACCCAAGGCATCGGTCCGTCAGGTAAAGGCCTGAAGCGAACAAGTGATTATGCATTGTGTCGCGGTACTGAGTCCAGACAATCAATAGGAGATCGCATGTAAGAGCTGGAATGTGTATGTGAACAAATTTTTGTCCAATTGCCTGATTTTGTGTTACAGTACGAGTCAGCCATTGGCGACTCCGAAATCGATGTCTCCCAACCTACAGTAAAGGTCAGAATAGGTAGACTGTACTTTGTAGATACCGGAAGTATGCGCGTAGGTTTGACCAAGCATATCACTTCATGGCAGGAAACGCACACACCGTGGCGCTTTTGCGACGGTATATAACTTTACCTGTCACTGGCGTAATATGATGAACCAGAAAGAACGTAAGGCAGATTGCCCTTTCTGATCATCACTGTATCTACGAGAAAGACCATGGAGGACAGTATATAGCTAGAACAAAGATGTAGTTAGCTATAGCGATAGCTGAAGGGCTGTTTCGCCCGGTAGTTGTGTCTGCACATAAGTTACTATATATTTGAGGGATTCACTATGCACAGCAACTCCGATACCTTTCGGGTAGTTATTCAATACAGTTACCCTTGCATCAGGCTGAGGCTGTATCTACCACGCCAGTAAAACCTGATCTGTGTATTCAAAAGGAATCGGTGTCTTCCCTAGTTCTAATACGGTAGAGCTTGTATCTTGTTAGGCTCCTTAGTTCCCTTACTGATACCTTCCCTTACCTGCCCGCACATGTAGTTACTATCTACATCAGTTCCTGCCCACGTCCATTGGTTGCTCTGGCTTCATCACGTACTCCACGTGACGATCGATTGGATTCATCGGACGGCCTTTTTCGTACAACAACACCGAAGATGAAAAATAGCCAGGGGAGGCCAAGCAATGGCTTGGCACCGAAATATGAAAGCCATATAAGCAAAAATGGCTCCGCTGGTCATTGCTGTCTCCCTGAATGGGAACCCTAAGATGGAACAAATCAATGGTTAAGGACATTGACAAACAAGGCACCTTCGCGCACTCTATGGCGCACGCACCCAAGCTGCTGCCTTCAGTACATAGATTCCCATGCCGATTCCCTCAGTAAAAGTTTTGTGACATCCTTGTATTTACGCATCAAACCATATCAGCTACCACCTTCAATACATAGCTATTCACCCTAAATCATCAAAGCTCTGTACATGTGCGCTGCTTTAAAAGTAAAGACGATGATGTTGTTCACTTCTTGAGAATTCGTGCTGTCTCACCTCCCTTGGCATCAACCCTAGTTCCGCGTCTGGACATATTCGCATCGGGTTCCTGCACTGAGATCTAAAGTACATTTGCTACGTAAGTTACTGTGGGCAGTTGGGCGATAAATTAAGTGAGCTCAGATATTTCTGATAGTTTGTCGTTCGTTCTTCTTGTCCGTTTCAAGTCCTCCAGAAGTGTTGAATAAATAGTTACGTTTGTGGATTGACACAGTGTGGCCTTTTGTATGTCGCCATATTCACCCTCTTCTACCCGTACTCACTTGTTACAGGAATCTTTGTATCCCTCCGCATCACACGTTCATGAAGGTGCATGGTTCCAGGTCTCATAGATGTCACACTGTGAATGTGGTATGACCCATAGGTTTCTTCGAATTCGAATGGTTCGCCGTGCACACACAGGACAGATTCCTTTCAGGATTTCAGTTCCCGCAACTCTCCATGCACATGGTGATTTTCTGAGACAAGACTGGTGACAATTCCTCTTGTGAGCACACATGAGAACCGGATACTTTTCCGGCATGCTGTGATCCACTTCTAAGGTCAACAAAGTATTACTCACAACCCATTGTCGCTTTTCCTCCGTTTTGGAGGCATCAGTGGACGTTCTTCAATGGTTAAGCGTCAGAGCTAGTGACACTACTGTAGTTTCGGGCGCTGCCGTTGTTTCAGAGACCTACTGGTGTGCGCTACCCAGAGTTCACTATGCACGTCTCTGAGATGCCGGTGCACCAATGGATAATCGGGATGAGATTCTCCAACAGTCGCATTGAGACGCAGTTTCCGCCCCCATCCTCACAAGTCTGTGAGCGACGCCAGCTGGTGCAACAAGCCCGATGTGAGGGGGCCTGCCGAAATTCAGCCAAGCGACAGCGGTTGTTGTCACGACGACATGGCACCATCGCTTGTCCAACATATACCGCCTCACTTTCAGCTGGACTAGCAACCGAAGATAGTAACGGGGTGACAACAACTGAGACAGCGTGTCCATTTGTCGTTGGACTAGGCCCTTCAACGGGCAGACTGGTCCGTAAACCGGAGAAATACAGGCGCTATAGCGCTGCAAACGATGCGAAGAAGAACATAGGCCACGTACTTCCATGGATTATTCCCAAAAACCAAGCGGAAGTTTACAGACAGTACTTCAAATTGCGACGCCCAAAAGTTTATAGTTCATAAGGAAGAAAGCAGCTAATTCGGAGATTTTGTGAACTACATGCTCAACAGTTGCAGCAGGATTATTTGGGAGAAGCGTTAGACATTCTGCCAGGCTATGCGGACGCAATTTCCACCATTACCAAACATACCGTTTTTCAGCCGCGAGGCAAAGTTTGCAAAACTTGTTTTTAGGCCAGATACAATCTCTCGATAAATACACACCAGTTGTTTGGACTCTGTTCTTGGCAAAAAAGTACAGAATCTTCTGTAGTGCTTAACGGCCCAAACGAGTGTCTAATGAACAGAACAAACTATTAATGTAAGTCAGACATAATGTCACAAGGAAATATTGATTCACAGTTCATAAGAAGAAATTCCGCAACTCCATATTCCGTTACACCACAACACCAAGAAGAGAAGGTTCTAATTTCCTGGTATTCCAAACCTCCGGTAGTCGCAATAATAATCCACTGATGAAAATGGATAGGCTCAGTGTTTGCAGATAAATTTTTATTCGCGTTGGAAATTGAAACCAGACAGTGTTACTTAATTGACAGTCACAACAGTAACTCAGCAGACGTTGCGAAGTCCCACTGAGCCCAAGACGCAGGGGCTTGTTGTGTGTTTCATCAAAACAAAGTTTGCATCATATTGTGACCAATATTGACAAGGAGATAACAGATTATTTTGAGCAGCTTACAATCGCTACACTTCTCTTTGGGTATTATAAATTGTATTTTCCGCCGTTAACGCTTGAATTCTGTTCGCACTAGCTCTATCATGCACTCGTCTTTTACAACACCAAGAAGTCCTACAGCTGCAGAAGCTCAATCTAATCATTAGTGTTTGATCCCAACAGGATGGTACCCAACTACACTACATTCAGGGTGCTCGCGAATCTCCAAGTGAAACATCCGGAATTAGGTGGACCAATCGAGGAGAACCATTTGCTTGGCCGCTCAGGTCGTTGGACACGAGTTCCACTTGGTATGTTGTTTTGAAGGTACTAGAATTATTGCGTCTAAAAAACCAAACCGAACAGGCTTCAAGGGTCACAAATAAATGCCGTGAATCAGTCTAAAAAGATAACTCAGGATGTGCTGGAGGAACAGATATGCAATTGTTACACAAGGATCCTCTTGTGCAAGCAAGAAGCCAGGGGATTCCGAACATATGATGCACTAAGCCGCGAATTTTCATTAGCGCTCCACTATATCGTTAAGATGTTGAATTATTGGAAACGCGTTTCCACGTGAATCGCGTCATTGCCGGGTGAAGCTTAACCTCAGCTAAGGGGTCAGACTGGCAGAGTAGTTTGTCGATGAAATTAAGTGCTTATTTGGCGTTTCTGTGTGGCTACTCAGTGGTTAGAGACCCCATGCTTCGTGATAAGGACACAAGGTCCAGGCACGAGTCAGCAACTTATGTATATTAGCTCTTTTATGCATAGCAGCAGATTGCAAAATTAGTCGAAACTGGTCCAGTGAAACCAACATTTCTTCAAATTCATCCAAGATATATGTGCTGACTTTTCGAATGAATTGTGACCAATAATGATTTTGAACAAGGAAGGAACTGGCCAAATCGCTTGCACAGTAAAGTAACAAAGTCCCTTTTACCTTAGAAGCCTCGAGTTAGGTTACTCCGAGTTCAGAATCACTACGGATTCCTCGTTAAGATAGAACGGTTATTTTTGTCTCATGCAATGGAATTGTTCACCTACTTGATTGTTGGAGGATGTCTAAGTCAAATTGTGGATGTCTGTATTAGTAGAATCGGACATGCGAGACAATAGTGCTCCAGTTCTGTATCAGCTGCAAGGCACGAACCAGCGGGTTGAGATTAGTTTACTCACAATTCTTGGAATGAAAGTAGGCTAACAACTTTTGTTCCATTACAACTAAAATAGTTCATTGCGGAAAGCTCTCGGCGGTACGGCTGGACAGCACGGTGGAGAGAATTATGATGAAAATTAAAGGAATTTACCTATGATACAAGCACCTCGTCTTTCATCCCGGTTCTAATACTCACTGGAATACTATCCTGCACGGACCGATCGACGGCTCTCAAAGGATCACTGCGAATTTATGCACCAATCTTGCCCTTTCGGGTTTTCATGGGACTCAGACTCACAGAAAGCTTCGCGCGAGCCTCAGAGCAGTGCACCGGTGTGCAATAATCCACTCATGGATGTTAGCCAACCATATATAGCCAACGTAAGCGTGGTACACTGTAAGGGGTTTGGTGCCAACTCAGATTCGGTGCATTCATTAGTGCACTCAGTCCAACACTCTCACGAAAGACGTACTCATTTCCCGGTTATTTACTACTCCCAATATTTTATGTTTAGCATTGCCGTAATACTTTGGCTGGATTGAAAATCGACCCGAGTGTATTGACGATCCAGCTGGTGCTTGTTCTTCACATACGTGAATCCTCTATCTGCCAACAATAATGAGAATGGGATTGCTCTGATTATGTCAACTCAAATAAGCTATAATCGCACTCGTATGTGAAGCGCAGCTCTGACAACCGTAGCATGTGATGCATCGTGCATTTCGAGTGCAGTTCGATTGCAGTAATCGTTTGGATCACTGTAGTAGTGGCCCCATAACCGCCCTACACTTCCTCAGGAATCAGTATGATTTTCAGGGGTCCTGCGCGTATCGAATCGATATTGGTTGTCAGGTCAGTAGGCAGCACCTCCTTAATTGATGTTCTGAAGAAATGAATGTCTTGAGTTGATCAAATCAATGCATGCTTGGAGAGATCACATTCGCGTATGACCTACGTGATGTTAATGGACCTTAAGGGACCGGCATGGAGGGGAATTGTACAGTTCATAGTTACTCAAGACGACAGCAGCTCCGTGATTGAAAATGAACTGCTCACCAAAGGGTCCTCTGTTCCTCAGGCCATTTCCGGCTGATAAGAATCATGCTGTTAACAAGCAGACAAGCAGTTCACCTGGCGTATTGACCAATCACGTAGAAGCAACACTGACGCACCTTATCTGTTCACAATCTAATCCTTCAAAATTTTACGGGCTCAAATGGATTATGATATGGCCTCGGTCTCTCCTCAAAGACTTCACTTAGGCACGTTTTTTTCCAAAAGTTGCACCAGGAAACGGTTTTTTACTGTTGTAATATACGGTGATTGCATTCGCGAAAGCTCAATTACACACATCTTGAGAAAGCCTTCCAGCAATCTGCTAGCTCAACACCATTCGTCTCTTTTTACCACCAAGTTTATTTTCAAATTGGTGTACAAATCCAACGGCACACAAATTGGCGTTCAAGTAGAACATAGGTTTGACGGAGGTTCGGGTACTACATCTGACTTGTGAGGTACGAAGAGCAAAACCGGTAGTAGACTGCTGAGCTTTTCGCAGCTATATATAAGTAGTGATGGACCAAGAGAAATTCTCGAGAGATCACAGACGTTTTATCGGAAAAGTTGGAGAAAACTCGGTGCTAAAAACTATCGGTCTTGTAATGTCGGTCTTGATAATTGTTACTCAGCTTTTGTGAATTACGGGTTGCGATTCTAATAGACTGTCCACTGATCCACATTGCACTAAAATGGATGAATTTGAAGGAGGTGTTGGCGTTTCTAAATATGTTGAGAAGAAATGCAGATAGCCAATGAAGTTCCCTCCAACTGTAAAACAACACGCAGTGGATACCATATCTCGTACCAGTTGTTTTCAACACAAACCTCACAGAGAGGTAGTTTTATGGGCACCGAAGCATTTGTCCTGAGGATCCACTACCCATTCAGCAGCGGCCAGTAATGGCGCTTATTTTTT